TAAACTTTGGGAGTTGGCGTCGGCGAAATGACCATAATTCATCCCAAAACATGGAACGGATGTCGTGTTTTTTTAAAAATTTTTCTAATTAATTTTTTCAATAATTTTTTTTAATTTTCTAAAACCGTGGCCCCCAAAATATTTTCTCACCTTGCCCACAAAAGTTTCAAATTTTTCACAACTTCACCTGTTCCTGCTTGTATGTCCAGGCAAGCCTTTATGGTCACTGGCATCCTGTATAGCCTCTAACTATGGCTTATAAATACAGGCATTTAGTTTCAACTTGTAAAACTCCTTGTGTGAGCGTGCGACAGCTAGATGAAACGTGTTGGAGAATAAAGAAGTTTTGCAACAACTGTTTGCAGAGCGCTGCTCTCTAGTTCAGTTTGAAAAAATTGTGAAAACAAAAAGTTGTTAAAGAAATTGGTCTAGACTTCCAACAATTTATGAGCCACCGAAGGGAGCAAGGGCAACCATCGCTACGATGGCCTTGCACAAGACAGCAGAGATGGGAAGTGAGCAATATCCAGATGCTGCAAAAATCGTGAAATACAACACATATATGGATGACATTATTGAAAGTACCACAGAGCTTCCCACTCTGCAGAAATAAATGCAGGACATTGAGACCTTCATCATTAAAGGCGGATTTAAACTGAAGGAATGGATCTTTTCCCGACTCAAGAAATAGTAAAAGTCTCTACCGAATGGGTCAAACATAGCGACCGAAAAGGTGCTAGAAGTCAATTGGGATGCGATCAAAGACCACTTGTGCTTTTCAGCAAAGTTTAACTTCTTTTCGATTTGGAAACGCAGAATACAGAAAGACAATCTTAATGATGATTTGAAACTCACACCACCACTAAGCGGATGATATTGTCACAAGTCAATAGTATGTACGATCCTCTAGGACTGGCAGGACACTTCACAGTGCGGGCCAAAATCTTAATGTGACATTAATGGGCAAATAGTGAAAAACTCGATTGGGATGATCCGATACTGGAAGATAATAAACAACAATGGTCAGCATTCTTTAATGATTTACCTGAAACGAATCAAGTCAAATTTGAGAGATGTTTAAAGCCTTCAGACGCAGTTTGCAATCCTGTTCTTATTATCTTCTGTGATGTTTCAGAGGATGCTTACGGCTCCTGCGCGTATGTACGATGGCAATGACAAGGCGGAGGGTTTGCTTGCAATTTGATCGTTTCTAAAAATCGTCTTGCACCAACAAAAAAATGTCCATCGACAAAATAGAGCTGTGTGGAGCAGTGTTAAGTAAGCAGCTTAAATCCTTCATCGATAAAGAATGTAAAAGTTTGGGTGCATCTTATATGCGAATATTTTCCCAAAAAAATTTTTTTTGATCACAGTTACTGGTACCATCTCAAGGAAATAAAAGGACACAGTGTTGGTCATTGACTGTTATAAATACGGAGGGTCTGAAAAAACGAGCAAAGTCAAATTCGCATAGATATGATACGTGCTCGAGAGCACGTGCTCAGTAATTTGATACGTCACAAAACGAAACGAAAATAAACAAGCAAAGAGATAAATACCTTCTTCATCCATTCAGCCTTTTTTGTGCACTGAGACCTGCATTCTTGGTGGTACATTAATTCTTGTTTAATCAAGGCTTTTGTTTGTGTGCATGGTCGCGTGTGCGACAATTCTGCATTTGTTAATTAATGGTAAACTAAAATCAATAGGTGACTTTTTCGCTTTTTGTAAGTTTATGAAAGAATTTACAATAAACTTGACCGATCTTTACTCCCCAAACAACGGTGCACCTTACAACCAAGTATTTTAGCGATTTTTTCAGTTTGAAAACATGCAATAATGAAGTTGCCGAATTGGGGGTGCGTCTTACAGCCGAGTGCGCCTTATAACCAAATAACTACGGTAGATACACTTTTGAGAAATGCTACTACCTAGTCAACTCTCAGATAGTACACACAATGATACAGAAAAGCTCCTACGGTATCAACACCTTTGCCGCTACACAAATCCATGAAACTCAGGGAGGAACCAACATCGAGGATTGGTATTGGTGCAAGAGTAAATTTAACATTGCAGATTGGTTGACTAGAGGAAAGAAGCCAAGTGAAATTAGTCTTCACAGCAATTGGCAAGAAGGACCTCTCCTTCTTAAACAAGCTGAGAGTGAGTGGCCTATCTCTCGTAATTATTCTGAAGTAAGAATATCTACGACAATTATGAAAGTAGTCAATACAGTGATTGTAAGTGTTAAAGACGACTTGGTGTTAAGAATATAAAGATCGAACGATTCTCAGATTAAAACTGTCTACTAAGAGTGACAGCAAGAATCTTAAAGCTTTATCGCAGAGAACCCGAGGCAACCTTAAAGAACACAACACAGGAAATAACACGTAAATATGTAGAGACAGTGGAAGTATTCTGGATCAAAGAGGCACAACGAAATATGAAGAACGATATAAAGCAAGATACGTACAGATGTTTGTGTCCTCGATTACGAGATGATGGCATATACGTGATAAGTGGCATGCTGAAAAATGGCTAGAAATTGGCTACAACAAGGAAGATATACTCCTACCATATCAGCATCGATTTGCTCGACTTTACTGCAAGTACATTCATGCTAAGGGGCACCACGGAGTTCTTACAACTGCAAGCAAGATCCGCTCAAGGTTCTGGATAAACAAATTACTTAAAATGATTTAATCTGTAAAGCTCAACTGTGTGACATGTAAGAAACTTGACAAGAAACTATCAAGACAAGTGATGGGAAACCTTCCTAAAGAACGACTCAAGCCAGCAACCCCATGGTATTCCACATCAATTGACTTATTTGGACCCTTCACAATCTGTGATGCAGTCGAGAAGCGTACTACATCAAAAGCGTATGGGGTAATCTTTAATTGCATTGGAACCAGAGCTGTATATTTGGACCTTGGGCTAGACTACAGCACAGAAAGTTTTCTTATGATGTTGTGCAGATTGTGCAGCAACAGTGCGCAACTTGTTGCAGTAAGTCAGGAACTTAAGAATGTTACGAAATCTTGGGATTGGGAGAAGCTTAAAAGTTTTGGAGTTATGGACCACAAACTATTTCCAAGACCTGATTGTGCATCAGAAGTGGCATACAGCATATTGCAACCTTAAAACTGGAGACCTTGTTTTAATACAAGATTCTAACTTGGTTAGAGGTCAGTGGCGACTTGGGATAGTTTCAAATACTTTCCAGGGTTCTGATGGCAAGGTGCACAAAGTTAAAGTGCAGTACAAAAATCTTAAGCAAGGTGAACCTGTAACCAAATATCAAGGGAGAGGATTTGTCATGATCAAACGCACTGTACACCATTTAGGGTTACTTATACCAAAGGATGACATTTTGGACTTCTGAAATGATATTAACTCTGTACTGTTCCTATTTTTATAATCTGGACTTATTAATTTACAAATCCCTTTTTGTGGAGGGGAATGTTTCGTTGAGAAGTTCTATAATCGATCACTAAGTTAATTTATCCGCTAATGAGATACGTTATAGTAATGTCATAACATTAATGTAAGTCATTTGACAGCTGTGGACCTAGCTGACTCACTGGGTAAATATCAAATTGTTTCGTATAATTTATTATCTGAGCATTTCATAACAATGGAACTTCCTTTTAGTAATGAACGCAGTTCTTTTATTGTCTGGCAGTAAAGTCATCAATAAAGATGTTTGATAACAGTGAACCAAAAGCCCACAACTGACGAAACAAAAAGTAGGGTTCTGATTTCACAAGTGAAATGGTGTATCTACCTGTATTTATCATGCACATTTTTTTTCTTACTAAAAAATAACATTCACATTCGGGATGTGTATTATACACTGAAAATTCCCTGGACCTGCAGTTTGGAGTCCATGAAGCATTTAAATATATTTTCCATAAAGACTAGAAATGGGGTTTGTTTCATTATAGGCAGGTGCATATTATTAAGAAGTTAACATTGTATATAATATATTTATCACTGACCACACTTAGAAATGTACTCTGCATGAAAACACACGTCAAAATTATTCGCAAATTGTACCAGTAACTACATTGCAACATCCTTAAAAGTTTTCATATTTACATTTCGCAAATAAATAAATTGTTTGCAAAATGTAATTCAGTAGATTTCAAGGGAAAAATCTCTTCAAAAGGATGCTCTTTCAAGTCTATTAAAATCTGCACCACTGATCATTCCCTCTTGTAGGCAGCATTTTGTCAAGATCATAAGGAACTGCATACAGTCCATTATGTTTCCATTATCAGTGAATTTGTTGAGTATTATTGTATCAGGATAACAATGAACTTTGTTGTTTGTATTGGAAATGTGTGGTGGCCCAAAAGGGTCAATCATAAATCAATCTGCCAAAACACAAAACAATGTCTCAAAGCAGAAACCAATTTCCAGAAACACAAATCAGTTTACCAAAACACAAAACAATTTCTTGAAAGTCATAGCAGCAGAACTGGATGCTTAGGGGCTGATCTAAGCACATCTGATGCTGTATCTTCCAAAGAACCTGTTCCTAAGTTGGATACGTTCGTGAAGAAGAAAAAAAATGAGCAGGTGTCTCATTTTAAGAGGAAGAACAAGAAGTTAAAGAATGAAAACGACGAACCAGTGACAATAAACATAGGAATAATGCGTTACGTGGAGGAGGAAAGTATGCTAAAGCCTCAGCAAGGAAAAAGTCTTCCCATAAGACCTAAAACAACCGATAGTGAGGAGGTATTGAAGTTAGCTGTGGCTAAGCAATTCCTACATAACGGAAATGAAACTGTCTACAGCTCTGTGAATTCCTACAAATTGCTATACCCAGATGGAACTGAAGTTAAACGAATGAAAGAATCTAATGAGGCATTTAGTTTACAATGATACAAAACTGAACTGGGAAAACCTTATAACAGGTTAACATTGTATCTTTGTAGTTCTTCAGATTACCTTTGATTATGCCTTAAAAGGCCTTGTTGATGTCATTTCTTATGGCAGTGACAGTGAGGGTGATATCAGCCCTATTGTTTCAAGACAATATATCGGACTGGCAATTTCGAATCAAACGATTTCTCAAGAGTAAAAAAGAAACGCCGGTGAGTCAGTTCCATAACAGTAGTTTCAAACAAACACCAACGCCTCGAATGCACATTAATCTACCCAAGATAAACATCAAATCCTTTGGAGGAGATCCACTTGAATGGCTCACATTCTGGGATAGCTTTAGTGCAGCTATCGATAAAAACCTTGAACTAAGTGATGTTGAAAAAATGAATTATCTTAATGGAATGCTTAAAGGAGAAGCAGCGCGCGCTATCTCCGGGCTTCCATTGACTGAAGAAAATTATAGAAAAGCAACTGAGCTATCAAAAGAGCGCTTTGGCAAACCCCAAAATTTAACCAACACTTACATGGAATCATTATCCAAGATCCGAGCGCCATCAAGTGACATTAAAAATTTAAGGGAATTTCACAATACATGCGAAGCCAATATTCGTGGCTTAGAAACACTTGGCGTAATGACAGAATCATATGGTAGTTTGCTAATTCCCATCCTCCTAAAGAAAATACCCGAGGACATACGCTGTTTAGTATTCAGAGCGGATCCTTTAGCGGACAGCTCCCTGGATAGATTGAGGGTAGCCATAAGACAAGAAATTAAAACACGAGAGAAAAGTCACATATCCTCTCAAGAAGATTCCACATCTGTTGAAATGGACAGAGAAGTATTCGCACCAACCGCTGGCACTCTATTAGCCAATGCTCAGCAAAAACAAAGAATTTTCAACAGAAAACCGAAAGTAACACGCCCATGCACTTACTGCGCGGAAACACACCGCCCAGAGAGATGCGATAAAATCACATCAGTAGAAGAACGCAGATCTATCCTTCAATGCCAACAAAGATGTCTAAACTGTCTTGGACTCAAACACACGAAAAGTCAATGCTACTCAAAAGGTCGTTGTATGAAGTGTAAGAGAAAACACCATACTTCAATCTGCGAAGAAAACAAGAGAATCCAAACCAAAGTTCATCATATCAGATGAAAGAAAACAGCAATTCAAACAGTAGTCAGCCACCTACACATACCACAGCGAAAAACACAACCCACATGGGAGCAACACATTCCCTTCATCCTACCAATCATATCCTGATGCAATCCGCCGTCACAAAGATACGTGGAGCCGGCAAACAATATTGTCAAGCTCGCATCTTGATCGATACGGGATCACAAAGAACCTTTATTACTCAAGATATGACGCACAAACTTTAACTGAAACCAATGGGAAAAGAACTCCCGGATGTAACTACTTTCGGCTCATTTCAAAGTACCAGGAAAACATATGATATTGTCTCATTCTCGATATCGACAGAAACAGAGAATATCACAATAAAAGCACTAGTAACTCCAATTATTTGCCCACCGCTATCAGTCATGGAAAAACTTAAGATACCTCCTGCATTGAAAGGACTCAAACTTGCAGATCGTCTGCAATCACCAGAAAGTCTTGACGTTGATATCATCATTGGAAACGACTATTACGGTCAGCTGATTACTGGAAAAATAATCAAAACTGAAAACGAAGCCTTGATTGCTATAGAAAGCAAATTCGGATGGCTCCTGTCCGGACCCGTTCAAAACTAGAGCAACCACAAGAACGACTTAAACACACTGTGCCAAAGGATCGAAATAACGCCAGTACAAGAGTCAAAACTTGATAACCTATTAACCAAGTTCTGGGAAATCAGCAAGATACCACGGCAACTTCATATATTTTGCGACAGCAGCCAACTAGCTTACGGAGCACTGGCTTACCTAAGAGGAAAATCAGGAGCTGAAGTATACACTGTGTTTGTTATGGCTAAAACCAAAGTTGCACCTATTAAAACACAGATCCCTTCCACGACTGGAACTGTTAGCAGCACTCTTAGGAGCGCAGTTATCTGAATATCTGACCAAGACACTACAACTTACAAAAACCAAATGCGAAGTCACATACTGGAGTGATTCCCACATAGTATTATCGTGGATATCGTCTACTAAACAATTACCACAATTTGTTAGTACACGAGTCCACAAGATAAAAGAAATAACATCCCCGAATACATGGTGATTTTGCCCAACATCAATGAATCCAGCTGACTTGTTGACTCGGGGACTTGATACCAAAATGTTCAACGAGAAGAAAAAACTATGGTTTCAAGGGCCTCCATGGCTGAGAAACCCAGAGGACACATGGCCTCCACAACCCGAACCATCATCAATCCACACAGAGTGCGAGAACCCACAATTGGCAGTTACAATTATGGCAGATATTAAAGAAAATCCCAACATACTGAACATCATTGAGTTAACAAAATACAGCACCCTAACACGTGTAGTCAGAATTACTGCCCTTCTTGTCCTCTTTGCAAGAAAGTGGAAAACACCTGAAGGGTATAATGATAACATTCTCACCACAAAAGAAATGCTGGAAGCCAGAAATTTGTTACTAAAAGCAACTCAACAAATAACTTATCAAAAAGAAATATCATACCTAAAGAACAGGGATAAATTCAAAGAACCTGCCATCTTGACGATGAGGACCTACTTCGCTGTCGTGGACGGTTACAGTACACAGATCTACCCCACGATACAAAGTTTCCCATTATTGAGCAGTTCTTTGAGGTCACCAGCACCTCAGGGCAAAGCTTTGTTTCACCCTTGAATGATCACCTAAAAACTTCAGAAAATGGACAAATGTAGTCCCTTAGCACACAAAAAAGCTATTCAAAAAGTATCACCAAGAACTAAATAAAGTGACAATAGAGGAGTAAGAGGTAAAGCATATTGGGCTGAAGAAACTTTCAGAGAGCAGCTTCTGTCAGTACATAGCAAGTAAAGATGTTTCAAAGTTAGATTAAACATGAACTGACAGTTTCTTAAGGGGAAGGGAGTATGACAATTTTACTACCAAAAGAGGCCAAGAAAAAATGAGAAATCACCTAACAACACAGCTCTGACTACGAAAGAAGTCAACACTATTTTCTTTTTCAAAAGACACCATTGAAAGCACCTTCTACAAGTATGTTAGACCTTTACCAGTAGTTGTTAGCTCACAAACGATTTCATCTTAAGCCCTAGACAGGGCAGATTTGTGCACAACTGATTGTTCCTCAAGAACCTTGCACAAAAACGGTTGCAGCTTACCAAAAAGGAAAAGGAATGTTTTGCTTTTTATGCAAGCAACACAATTTTAACACAACACCCTGTGAAAAGTTCAAGAAATCAGAAGTTCATGAAATGGACTAGGACATGTCCCTGTATTTCATTAACAAAAAAAGTGCTGGAAAAGAAATTTGACAGAGATGACCTCATCTCTAAGGCATATAGTGCAGCATATTGGCTTGTCAAGGAAAGTTTGAACTCCAAAGTTCTCATCTTTGCCTAATCTGCCAACATTGTGCGGTCTTAAAAGAAATATTTTTGGTACTGGGCTGCTCTCTTGATGACAAATTGTAAGGGAAGGTGAAGATTGCAAATTGCTTTGGTCTCCTATCTGCTGAGGTTACAGATGTCTCTTTCGTGGACACAAAACAAGGAACATTAAACCATATTCCTTGTGGGTTGAAAATGCTCTGTAAAACTCCACACAGCCGATGCAAAAACCACCTTAACACTCCTCACAACTTAAAAAAAAGCTCAGTCTAAAGGTGAAAGACTGTAGCTCTCTGGTTTCTCATGTGATCTCACTGCACTGCTTGTGCAACAAGCTTGTGCCAAAGTACAATAGCAGCTTTCATCAAAAACTGCCAATGGGTGGGCTTTGTTGGATGACCAGTGTTGTGGCAAGAGGCAACACTAGAGGGTCCATTTTCCCAGTGAGTGTACAAGAACACACGTTTCTGCTATGAGGGTTCTTTGCCACTGCCTCAACTTCTCAATTCAATGAGTTAATAATAAGAAAAGGAATGGCCATAAATATAATTGTAAGAAATAACCACCAAAAGTAAATTTAACTTTTCTTGTTCACCAGTCTTTAACAAAACCTTTTGAAAGGTTCAAAAAGCCCTCAGAGCATAACAACAATACAGCAACTATACAGTAACACTATGACCAGCATTGTGACCATCAAAATTTCACAATAGCTAAAAGGGAAGAGATGAGAAGCAGAAGCTAATCAAAGTATTAAGAGTTTGTTACTAAATTACTTGAGTTTCATTTTTTCAGTACTAAATTTATCTCAAATATTTCGGAAAAGAAACAACCAGGATATTGCTGTAACAACAGTTACACAAAGTTAATTATTGAGAAGAAAATTCTCACAGTTTAAATTAATACTTTATGAGTATAGGTGTAGACATTTATAGAGAGAGGGTTGTGTGACAAGTTGCATGACTTGCTATGTGATATCTAACCACACGAGTTTCTGTTATATTGTTGATTCAGCCAATGAAATGCATTTACGCGTGATTGCACAACCGTGTGCTGGAGTTCCTAAAACGTTGCAGAATGTCGCTCGACTGTATATAGTTGTTTTTTACAATAAATCTCCGTTTAATACCCAAGTGCTGTTTCATACAAGGTGGCAGCGGCGACAGGATCCACGCTGCATTGAAGCTTACTAGAAAATGGCATCAGGAAATAGCTTACCGCCGCCAACGCCACTGGATATTCATGATCAGAACGCTGCGGAGAAATGGAAGAAGTTTAATTTAGCGTGGAATAGCTATGCTTTGGCTACTGAGCTCGACACGAAGTCGGAAGGCATCCAAGTTGCTACTCTCTTGACAGTCATAGGAGAAAAGGCTCGTGATGTGTATTACACAATTACGGACTGGGCCAATGAAGGGGAAGAAAACAAGATTGCCCCGGTGCTACAGAAGTTTTCCGAGTATCGCCAGCCATGAAAGAATGTACCATTCGAGCGCTATCGATTTAATCGTCGAACACAAGAAGCAGGAGAAAGCTATGACCAGTACAAGACCACACTTCGTAAGCTTGCAGACAGCTGTAACTTTGACACGATAACCCCCGACGAAATGCTAAGAGATCGCTTAATTTTCAGCATACGCGACTCAAAAGTGAGAGAACGACTGCTGCGATTTGTCGCGCTGCCGAAAGCATGCAAACACAGATGAAAATTGTTGGAGACCTCACCGAACCGGAGGCAAACAAACTGGAGCAGGAATGTCTGCCTAACTTTCGAAAATCCAAGAAAACAACTCCTAGAAGACAACAGCAAGGTCAGGGGCAGCATGACAGAGAGTGTGAAAAATGTGGCTATCAACACCAGGAAAGTTCGGAATCCTGTCCCGCGATAGGACAGGAATGCCTGAAATGCGGAAAGCAGAACCACTTCGCATCAAGATGCAAATCGAAGGAAGTTAAGGCAACCAATTTAGAAGATGATGAGGCTGGTGAGATGTACCAGATAGAGGTAGCAGCCGTGAAACTCGATGATTCACAACTAGTGACACTGAAGCTAGAGTCTGGTAACTTCATCCGTTTCCAACCTGACACTGGAGCCCAGTGTAACTCGCTGCCGCTACAGGTTTATCAGAAGGCATCTAAAGATGAGAAGCTTGAAAAAGTGAATCGCACTCAGGCATCATTGGTTGCATATGGAGGCTCGAAAATTAAAGTCATCGGCTGCATCAGCATCCACTTCTGGAGAAATGAGAGGTCATGCCTTCTGGACTGTCGCCTGGTGGACAGTGAAGAAATTCGTCCGATTTTTGGTATCAAGTCGTGCCTAGCTATGAACATCATCCAGTGCAAAGACAATGACCTGCTCAACAAGCCCGAGACAGGAGGTTCCTCTGTTTATGCCATATTAGACCAGCCATCACCAGTAACCAAAGAGGAATTAATGTTAAAGTTTCCAGATGTCTTCGGTGAGGGCCTTGGAAACTTGACGGTCAATATAAGATTAGATTGGACGAGACTGTCCCTCCTGTACAACATGTTCCATGTTGCATTCCAGTGGCATTAAGGCCTCAGCTCAAGGATACATTGGATGCTCTAGAAGCAGAAGGTATCATTGCCCAAGTAACCACACCCACC